AACGAGGCCCACACCAAGCTAGGGATATCTCTTCAATCTCCCAGGAGACCCATCAGACGCAGAGTTCTGCAGGGAGCCAGGCTGCTTTCCCCTCACCACGGCCGAAGGGAGCGTGGCGACATGCGGCTCGGCCGGGTCGTTTCGACCGGAGGGGGTCTGCGGAATCCAAAAATGAATGAAAGCCGGAGCGGGATATTGCTCTTGAAATCCTAGGATCACCTCGACAAAAAGCGTGAAATTAATCAACATTATTATATAACACATTGTGTAGACTCCAGACCAATTGCAGGTATTTAATGTTCCCTTCTGTAAGGAGCGTTTAACCTTTGCAAAAGTTCAGGGAGATCCGTGAAGGACAGGACAGCTGCCAGCAGGCACTAGGGTCATTATCTGAAATGTTGAGTCCTCGCTTGCCAAAGGCTAAAGAGACCTCTTCAACATTTAGTTGGATGGATGTCCTTTGTCCCGGAGCCTCCAAGTACCTAGATGGATGCAATTACCTGATTTTGTTCGAGTCATTTTCCATGTTCTGCACTGTATGCGACAGGTGCACGTTTTGACAAATTCCCCAACATCTCGCATGGAGTTCTTGTTCTAGCAATCTGACCCCACCTCCAGGCGCTGCTAAGTGAGAAATTGATGAGATATCCTTCATGTCAGAGTCATCATTTAGTCAAACATGAGTCTTTAAACATGTTATGTTTTGGCTAATTGTTTGGCTCAATCCTACTTTTGGTGCACATATACAGGTCCTCAATTCAATAAACCTGGAGGTTGAACTGTAGAGGAAACACAATTGCCTTTTGGTTTACTGGATAGAGGTAGAAGATTTCGACAAGCCTGAGTCTTAGTCCATTGTTTGGTGATATACTCCGCATTGTAGTACTCAACCTGCTATTCCTATTCACTTGGACCAACCGAACATGATCCCACACACCTGTTGTCCAGTCCCAACTCCTACAATTTGCTATCATCCATAGTGACCGGGATTAGCATGGATTAGCTACATAGTGATCCTGGCAGTCGTATCACCCAACTGGCTTACGCTCACTGGTCTCCATCCCCAAAGATCCCCTCAAAAAAAGGCCGCGGTCCCACCGCTTCGGAGGGCACCGGTCCTCCGCCGCGTCGCCCAGGAAGCGAAGGGTGTGTCCAAGCGCTATGGGCTTTCCGCAGAACACCTGCGGTGCCTGAAGCACTCATTCAGACGGAACAGGACATCGTGTGGAGGTGGGTGACCGACTTTTCATGACCTGGATGGGATGAGCGTAATGGTTGTGGTTGGTGATAACATGAGCGGAATGGTTTTGATCCAGCTGGAAATTGGGTCGAAGTGAAGGAAACACTCTTCTGTCTCAATTGAAAGATATTGCAATTCCAAGCTCGTTCCCGAGTGTGTTTCTTTTGGCGGATCCCCTTGATTGCAATCAAAACAGGCTCCGACTGTAGAGTGCACACCTTGCACAGGTTTAGCATTACATTGTTTGTAGCCTCAGCACATGGCTCCTCGCGCTGGAATAGTGGCCCATGGTTTGGTATAGATCGCTCCACATGGCCGATCGGACCATTTTTGCGCAACTGCAGGAATTTGTATTGATTCCTGTACTGGGGGAGGGATTATGACCACATATCCCTGCAACATTTTGAGCTTACCATTCCTGTGCAGGACACCTGTGTGCCCGTCTTCCCAGCTCACACTGTGCCCCTTTGTTTTCTTCGTCACGTACTATGACTACGATGGATCAAGCCTCCCGTCGGGTTGTCCAAGGACCATTGAAGCCTCCCTGCAGCGCAGTGCCAAGCCACACCGTGCTGAACGGCCAGAGCCGGCGCTGAAGGAGGTGGATTCGGCGGCGAAAGCGGCGCCGAACGAGGCGTCGGCGTCGGCGCAGACGACTTGACCGAAAGAGGTTTCACCCCCCAGAGGGAGCGGAAGGAGAAGTCCCGTTGGGCTGAAGGAGGGGTCGCAGCGTCTTTTCGTCTTTTCTGACATGTTCGATACACCAAGCACCAAGTGGCGAATGTGGGAAATCTGTGGTTTTCATTTCAGGTGGTGGGTTGTAAGTTATAAGTATTGTGCTGAACTTCAGAGTAGGTAACGCACAATGGCAAGAAAAAGCTATGTGGCCGAACCGTAAAGATTTGTGCCATTTGATATTCGCATGTATCACTTGATCTCAAGAGGCGCATTCAGTCGTTGTGATTCAGTCGTTGTTGTGGCAATGACTCGACCCCTTTTCGCCCATGGTCATGTCCTTCTTGTCGCTTCTGCCGGATGATCCGTGCGGCTCTGGACAAAAGGGACGAGAAAGAAGACTCGCTGCGTGGGGCTTCGAGAGGATGTGAGCCCCTCCCTCCTTATAGCAATGGCCTCCCTCCTAATAGGGATTGCCTCCAACCCAACAGCGATGGCCTCCAACCCAATAGCGATGGCCTCCAACCCAATAGCGATGGCCTCCAACCTAATAGCGATGGCCTCCAACCTATATAATAGCGATGGCCTCCAACCCAATAGCGATGTGAGCCTATAGTTGAAGCTTTTTGCTCAAAGACGTGGGCTCCCAACACTTGGAACATAGCGCGACCACCACGGCACAAGGGTCGCCAACTTGCAGAAGTGGAACTACAAAGTTTGCTACTTCCAGGGAACCAGCTTGGTGATGTGTTTATATACTGTATGTTTATATTGTTTTTGCTACTGTACTGGTTATAGTGATATGGGTACATGAATAGATATGAATAGTGTGAGATTGCCATGGATTTGTTGGTCATCCTATCAAGATGATGCCTGCGAAAACTTTTGTGTTCACGTCTTTTCATCACTCCTGAAGGACTTGGTTGCTAAAGGATCCCAAATAAAAAACACTGCTTTTAGAAGTAGTTCATTGTGTGCCTTGATTGTTGTTTTCTTCCGCTTGATACATGGGTGCGCCGGCCAAAGTTCAAGCTGTACCGCTACCAACTCTACTACCAATCCGGCCCTAGGGTAGACTCCCACAGAGTCTACTGCTGTATGTCCCTCTTGTGTGTCTTCTTTCGGTTTATGTCAGTGATATATTTAGTGAGTGGTATTCCAAGAACAGCCGTCGAGTACCTCGGAATCTGAATAGATTGTCGTGGCTCATGGACCATAGGACTTGGGAATTACATGGGGATTCCTGTTGTGGAGCATGTGGAAGCCATATTACACAATTCTTTGACATACACACACTTATGGATATGCGTACTGACTTGACAGCGGTGCCACACGCCAGCCTAAGAAACCCAAATCCTGAAAGGTCCAGGAAAGCCCTAAAGAGCCTGGGGGTCTTCAAAAGGAAATGTGGCCCAAAGCGCAAGCCGGAGTCGGAGCGACAGGGTGACGTCGTAGCGTGCACATCTGCCGAGTGCATTAGCCCTTAACAAAAGTTCAAAAGTTCGAAGAAAGCAGGTACGTTGGAGTGGCCAACTCCGATATCACCAGATCAAATGGGCGTCTTCGTTGGTAGCGGTCCCAAATGATCTGCCGCTACCCCCTGCTCAAAACAAAACAATTCAAAAGAATCCCTGTGACTACAAGGGGCACACACACACACACGCCTCCCCGAGGGGAGGCGTAAAGCTAAGGTGAGGGCCAATGTGCACGTGTGCGCGCACAAGAGACAAAAGAATGAAGACATGACAGGAGGACGAGACGGGACGAAGGTGCGTGTGGTTGAAATGAAAGGGGAACCAAGTGCACAGGGACACCCGATGAAGCCCACCTCATTGTAAAGACCTGGGCGACCCGAAACCTGTGTTTAAAGGTATGTAGAAGTGCACGTACACACTAAGGCCGGGACCAATGTGCGCGCAAACGAAGAAAAGGATGAGATGACCAGACATGAAGACAGGAGGACATGAAAGAAAAGAGGAAACAAAAGTGTGTGAAGGGGAAGGGATGAAAGGGGAACCAAATGGAGGGGACGAGAACCGATGAAACCATACCTCATTAAAAGCGCCTAGGGACCTACCTCGTTTGAATGTAAGCGCTGTGTGTGCACCTGAGAGTAGGACAGGTTCCAATGAACCTTGAACAAACTTCGGCCGCTGCGGCCACGTACGCCGTGCCAATATGGCTGGCTGCTCTGACCGCTGTGGTCACGTATGGGCATGCGGCATGAGCCAACTTGGAATTCCAAAAATGAGACAAGTTTGAGTGCTCTCGGCCTAGGCCACCTCCGCCCGCTGTGGGCACGTACGTTTCCAAAGCAAGGGAAACATTGACTGACACCCGTTCGACGGGTCCACGGGAGGCACTCTACGGGCTCATCCCGGACTCTCACTGGGAGAGACACACTTATGGATATGCGTACTGACTTGACAGCGGTGCCACACGCCAGCCTAAGAAACCCAAATCCTGAAAGGTCCAGGAAAGCCCTAAAGAGCCTGGGGGTCTTCAAAAGGAAATGTGGCCCAAAGCGCAAGCCGGAGTCGGAGCGACAGGGTGACGTCGTAGCGTGCACATCTGCCGAGTGCATTAGCCTTTAACAAAAGTTCAAAAGTTCGAAGAAAGCAGGTACGTCGGAGTGGCCAACTCCGATATCACCAGATCAAATGGGCGTCTTCGTTGGTAGCGGTCCCAAATGATCTGCCGCTACCCCCTGCTCAAAACAAAACAATTCAAAAGAATCCCTGTGACTACAAGGGGCACACACACACACTAGAGGCAAGCCAATTGCTCCTATCAACATGGAAGGGACAGGGGTTTATGGTCTTTCGTGTGAATCTTTGAGCAAGTGAGACGGGCTTGGACAGCTTGAGGTCTTTTGGGCGCTATTTCTTCTAGTTGAAACCAACACTTGGTGTATTGATAAGGACGCTACTAGGGGCTCCTGGCCTTACTACTAGTAACAAGGACGCTACTAGGGGCTCCTGGCAATGCTACTAGCAGCAAGGACGCTATTAGGAGCAAAGGGCATTTCTACTAGGAACAAGGACGCTATTACATTGAGAAACATCCGACAGAACACATCACTAAGGCTCCATTGTGGCGGCCGTGGAGAAGGGCAGGGCCATCTACTCGGGTATCCAAAAGTTTGTGTCTCGGTCAACGTGATGTGATGTGGTTGTGCTCAGAAAAAGGGCGACGCAGCCCTCGATGGAGCAAGAAATAGCAAGAAAGTCAATGGATGCCCAACGTGTTTTATTTTTTTGTGAGCCACATCAACGGACTACCATCCATGTCTCGATCTGTCATTTTTTTTTTGACCCACATCCAATGGTCCACAGGGTGTTGCGTTTCAACCCATGGGTCGCGACATGCGAGGCGAAACCGGTTCGTCCAGATCACGAACTCTGGTTCAACCGAGGGAAGGGTGGTGGGTGAACCATTAATATCCATTAATTAATTTCTCTCACTCTTATCTTACTTTAGACATTTACTGTAAGGAATGAGCCTAGTAGTCTCTTTGTTTGTCTCATCTTTAGTTAACCCCTACCCAAAACATTAGTTGGAACATGTCATCATGTCACGCAAAAACCTCTGGATAAACACATGTTTTTTTCTTTTCATGCGCCGGTGGTGAGAGGCCGGTGACCGAGGTAGATGTTTGGGTAAGGTCACCATGGGAAATTATCCCCATAATGTTCCCTACCAATGCTCAGGAGGCAGGTGGATTCATCACATGCCTGAGTTGCTGAGGTTCAGAAGGATTCTGCTGCAAGCTTCACCTAAGAGCCTATAGAACAGAGTGACCTTCTTTGCCAACAGCACTGTGGCCTTTCTGCTTCGCTCTTCAGGTGGCCTTCATCATGTCCGTGCACATCGCAGAGGCACAATGTGCACATCCGTTGGGGTGGAGGGAAATGGTCGAACACCTTGTGGTGGTTAGGGAGGTTGTGGGAGGTGGAAATTGGGCTGCGTTTGGGAGCATGCCAATCCCTTTCAGAGTGTTTCTTTCCCCAGTGCAAGAAGCCTAAAGCCTACTACCATGCCGCCTTTTCAGGCTTTCCAGGGTCCAAATAGATGAATCTCATCAAGGTACACAGTCTATACTAAAGAGGAACTGATTCTGCTTGTTGGGAGACACTAACAAGCAGACCTCTTGATTTTGTGAACGGTTTTATTTGATTTTCAAGAAAGCTGAATCACAGTCAGTGCGAGTTCTGGGCCTTTTTGTACGTATTTTTGCCAGTGTGACAAAGCCCCCAAACTTCATACCCTTTGTTTCCTGCATGAAGCCAACAGTAACAAGAATGTTTCGCTTTTGACAGCGAAAAAACAGGTGAAACCAAACCAGACCAATGAGATCCAATGAGTTCCACAAGAACCTTGTCAAGCGTGTGCTCGTCGACGTACTCGTGTTCCACCGATGAGAAACATGCACTCGTGAAGGAGCCCGTCCATCAAGAAGCAGGCATAAGCATGAAGACGGCGTGTGTGCCTCCGGATCTACGTACCTCAGAATCCAAGGTGTTTTTTTTTCATTTTTTCCGGTGTGGGCAAGTGGAGGATCAGTCCATTTCTTGAGTGGTACTGGATTTTTCCAAGAAATGCCACCTTGGAAAATGTAGAAAGAGTTTGAACATTCTGGAACCTTTGTTCAGGCTGTCATTCTTGGGGAGTTTCTCCATCATCTCCATCTCCATCTCCTCTCCTGGCGCAGCCTCTCCGGCTGCGCTGGGAGACGCTTGGACCGAGCTCTGCCAGGTGATGCAAATCTTCGTTTGCATCGCGGCTGGCGTGCCGGTGATGAGGACGGAGTCGAACTGTGCTACGCTGAGCTACGCGGATATGTGCGGATGATTGGTGGTGGGTCTCATCCACAATTGACTCCTGTTTTACTGACTGGCACATTAGTAAGGAACAAGGGAATGAACGGAAAGGAATCATCCTCAACATTGCAATACTGTAATCTCATTCCCTCCTTTAAAACCTCAAACATCCAACCCGAGTTGTACGTCATGGTCAGGGTTTTCCGTGGTCATTGCTGGCCAGGACTCCTTTGCAGATCCTCTTTCTGATTTTGGTCACCGACCTTCCTCCCTCCATCGCCCTGGGCATGGAACCAGGGGAGCCGGGCATCCTCAAGCTGCCGGGACGCCCGGGAGCGGGAGCCTCCTGTTCTGGAGAGCTGTCCGGAGACCTCCCAGGCAACGACCCCCCTGGAAGGCTTGGAAAATAGACCAGTCTATCCAGCCAGTACCAGGGGGGTGACCCCTATTTCTTATACACACCCAACCCTACACGCGAGCTCTGCGACCCCCGGCGTCGGCTTGCCTCGGCTTGGTGATCAAGAACCTCTAGTCCAGTGAAAATAGTAGCATTTAAAGGAACCGGTACCTATTTTCATTGAAGGACTAGCAACATCCGACCGGTACCAGTGAAAATCCTTGAATGGGGAAACTGGGTGTGGAGGAAAAATGCTATGGAAAAATGCCATGATATGACGAGATGTTCCAAAAGCGGTTTGCCATGGAAGTGGACAAACCCAGTTTGTAGAGGAAAGTGTTTCCAAGACCCATTCGTTCGATGCCCGAGGCGGCCGAGACCGAAGACTGAACCCATCGCCGCGGCCCTTAGAATGGTGGCAAGGGCGGCTTCAATGGAAGTGCTTGGATAGGTTTTCTCGAGTCATGTTTGCATGTCTATAGGTACAAATTGAGTGTACTGGTAATTATTTATTTTTATTTTTTAAATAATTACTTCTAATGAACTCGTGACTGAACACTGGCATATTGTATACATTATATGTATAGGTTTTCGCTGATGTTTGTCTCCAAGGCCCTGGAAAGGATCCGATACAGTTGCTAAGCTGCTAGCTTTTTGGAACCTGGTCTCTGTGTTCAACCACTTTGGCTGTTGGGCAGCAGTATGCTTGTGGTAGTGCTTGTGGTGGAATGTCTGATACAGTAAATCTCGGGGATCTCGTCGATGAGCTGGATGAATGCTTTGGGAAATTATGAAGCTAAGGTCGCTAGCTACCTTGGGGTCAGGATTTTCTCTTAAAATCGACGATGTTCTTTTGAAACAGCCAACACTTCTGATTTCCTCACGAAGGTTTCGAATGAGTACTGGCTCCTTATCAACTGGTCTCTTGCACAGACTCACAGACCCTATGGGGAATTGAACATCCGAACGTAGAGGGACAATTTAGGAACTGTACTGTTCACCCTATTCTTAAGATTATTGTCCTCGTACTGGCAATCCACTGTCAGGAGAAGAATAACGTACTACACAACCATCCAAAGGGGAGAACAGATTTGAAAGCACTTAGATGTTTTTGTTAATCCAATTTGGATGTTCTTTTTCTCCCGAAACCGGTTCGGACGGCTTTCTTCTTCAGCACTTTGCTGCTCAAACAGTCCTCCCTGCAGAGAGTCTTGCCTGGCGCTGGTGGTAGTAATCGAGGAAACGGCGCCATGGGGGGCCTGCCAGGCAGTACCGCAGACCGAGGTCTGCGTGGAGAACTGCTTTGCACCTTGGTTTCAGACCGGGGGGTGCAATGTTTCAGCAGAGCGGAACCGATGATTTTTGGGGATGTCTTTTTTGGATGCAAAAGAGATAGATGAAAAGGGAGCTGAAAACACACCCTATGCAGAAGCAGAGCTGGCCACTTCCAGGGTCTTGGACAAATGATATTTTCTGCCTCTTCCGAAATATGAATGATCCAGCCCAGGTCCTTGACCTAGCAAACACTCCAGATCTGGGTGCTCACTCCAGATCTGGGTGCTCATCGTCCAGCGCTCAGGCAACCATGTGGGTTGTCAAGGTCGGTGACTTCCTTCGAATGGCGCATCCCTTCCCCAGCGCTTTGGCAGAGTGTTGGTGAGCCGTGAGCCGTGTTGGTGGAGAGCGAAACGGACGAAACGACTTGCTATTAATACCAAAACGATCAGAATCTTACAACTAAAAAAAGCACAAATCGGAGAGGGAAGGTCCTTTGACATTGACACGTTCTGTTTGAGCTACATGACGGGCTGATTGTTGTTCCCTGTTTGCCCCGAGGCTCATCTAGCTTGAACCGGGTGTCTTCCAAATAGCAAGTGGATGTTTGATTTGGAATAGAACCTTGTTGTCAAGTTTCTTGCTGGCTCCGTTAAAAGCATGTAACACAGCCATGTAGTTTGTTTGGTCCTGCTTGGGAGCAAAGAGCTCTAAGAATGAGGCAACATCCACATGCGCCTGATACACTCAAGACTGACCTATATATACAGTCATGGAACTTCAAGAATTTAGATTTCTTCGTAGTGGGCAGCCATGCCAGCGTGGAGATATGATGATGATGGATTCGTTTCGTGTGAAGAGTCTGCAGAGACCATCTCCTTCCTCACAACCACGAACATAATCCACCGCTTCTGGCGCCACAGCCAAGCACCACTATTTCAAAAGTTTTGCGCCGCATTTTGATAGAGCTTTCGCTTCAAGATATTTAAAGCACTTGGATGGAGAACGTGGACCTGTTGGAGCTGCAAAAAGAAAGGCTTGACTTTGACCGGGACGTTGCAACTTCAATAGGTCCAACTCGTACTTCACACTATTTGCCAGATCTTTCTCGACCCTCTGCGGAGTCATGTGTTGATGTAGGTCTGTGCGGCCTCGAGGATTGCCTGAGCCAGCTGGAAGCACCAACCACTGCGCTTATATGCTGATTGCTCAATATGCCCAGCTTGGACGTGTAACTTTCTCGGTTTGACACTTACCTTGTATTGGTGCTCAGGAGCGGAGGCTCAACGATCTTGGATTGAAAGGTTATAATTGGAGCAGTCGGATGCAAACACCTGAAGCTTGTAGGTGCAATGTGCGCCCGAAGCTTCAGTGCCTTGCGCCCGGCCAAGCTCGATCAATGGGGCCTTGCAGGAATGAATGAGTTGGAGACGGAAAACCCGTCACAATTTTGCCAGCCAAATTGATTTGGCCGGGAAAACCCGTCACGTTTCAGACCGGGGCCCCAGCCCCAAAATGTGATGGGTTTTTTGAAAAACCCGTCGCAATTAAATAAGGAAAAAGAAAACCCGTCAAACTTTCCAGCTCATCCCCAACTTCAAAAAGTGATGGGTTTTTCCAAAACCTATGGAATTGTGATGGGTTTTTTAAAAAACCCATCGCTTTTCTGGGGCCAGCCGAGCTTCCAGATTGTGATGGGTTTTCTGAGCAAAACCACCCAGCCAAATGGATTTGGCCACCAAAAATGTGATGGGTTTTTAAAAAAACCCGTCGCAATTTGACCAGCCAAATCCATTTGGCCGGGAAAACCCGTCACAATTTGACTAGCAAAATCCATTTGGCCAGGAAAACCCGTCAAAATATAGCCAGCCAAATCTTTTTGGCCAGGAAAACTTCGAACACTTGGTATACCTAGGGTCCAACCGCTTTGCACTTGGAGTAGTGAGGTGTTGCAAAACCTGTTTGGCGTAAAGGACTTGTCACGATTTTACTGTTAAATTGTGTTGGTTCAGTAAGGACACCTCAGTTTCCAACAAAGACCAAAGCAGAAGGGCCGGGGCTTTGAGCTGTGTGCGCTTAACCTTGGTAGGATATTTGACTGCCAGCTAGCTGGCAGCCGGTGTGCCCGTTTACTGGCAGCCACAACCTGTTTGAGTTTGTGGTGTGTGCTTCTTGAAGCTTCAAGCTTCTGGAGGGCCTTAGGACGAGGTGAGAGTTGTTCGAGTAAAACGGTCGCGTCCGTTGAAGGTTGCCTTGAAGCTTCGTGATTCTTAGAGCCGCGGCTTGTTGAGGCGATGTGGTAGCGGGGGGACAATATCGCGTCACATGGACGATCAAAGTGAAAAATGGCATAAGCGAAGATTCAACCTTTTGACCTGCTGGCTTGGTTGCAATGTGCGCATGGAGCCTGGTAATTGAACTTGGTGCTATTTGCTATCATTATGGTTTTGAATGGGATGCCACGTGATGCGTGCAAGTGCTGATTGTTTGCAAGTTGCAGCAAATTCTGCGAGTCCGTGGAAAAAGCTGCCAGCTTGTGCTTTGGAGTTTACCGGACGGGTAGAAATTTGGACACCCACTCGCTATTTGGAGGACACCCGGTTCAGGCTAGATGAGCCTCCCGGCAAATCCCGTTTTTACCGGTTTTCAACAGCTGAGCAACCCTTTTGGGGGGATTCGAAACGAGCAACCAGAGCAGCAGCAGCAGCAGCAGCAGCTGAGACAGAGACAGCTTTGAGAATATGGGTGTATATTGAGACCTCAAAAACTCCCTAAAAGAATGGAAATGACCAGTCTACCCATTGGTTGGGGGTCTTTTTCTTAAAGTAATTACACACTGACACACAGGTCAAGTCAGACGAATTTGGTCCACCAGACTCAACACTCTGAGAAACTTGAAATTTGGTCTTCAGTTGTGTTTTCTGGCAGATTCTATTCTTCTACTTGCTGCAGGATAATATTAGGCGGACTACTCCTGTAGAAATCTCGCGGTTACAACCACACCACCAGTGGCCCCGAGTGGAGACCCTCTCCCCCTCCCATCCGCTCACACTCCCTCGCCACTCAAGAGTGTGATCACGGAGGTCTCTGGCCGTAATCCCGACACAGCAAAGCACCAAAAGCAGAGATTTCGTGAACAGTTCCAACTTGAAGGATTGTTACCATACTTCAAACATTTCAAACATGGTTGGGTCTTCAGGTCCGGGAACCTGCTTTTGATTAACCCACCTGGGTTGGGTCTTCGTAAGGTTTCACCCCTGGACGACGAGGGGGGGAACGCCCACGATGAAACGACGTTCCCGGGGTCCGGGTTTGGACGATGTTCTGGGTCATCCCAGAAGCTCGGAAGCCAACGTGTAAGATCACAGGACGGCGCCTTCTGAAGCACAACCACCCTTTCACGGCGTACACTCCGGTCGCTCCGTCGCTCCAGTCCGACACTCCGGGCGACCGCTCCATTTTTCGCAATTCAGCGTGCCGGAACGCGACCGCCAGCGAAGGCCATGAGGAGTTGAAGGCCTCGGGCCTTCTCTACGAATGGCGAGAAGACATGCTGTGCATCTTTGTGTCACACCAGTGGTTGGGCCACTCGACTTCCCCGCGACGGACGGATGTCTGAGTCTCATTGGTTTCTGTGTGGAACCAGCTTGGGTGCTCTGTCTTGGCTTCAAGACGCAACTTAGTGCAGCTGCATCCACCACCCAAGTAAAATCAGGTGACAGGTGGGTGTTCAGGAATTTCAGCTGTTGTTCTCTTCCACATGTGGATGCACGTATGCAATTCATGGCATGTTCGTGATTTGCAATACGGGTTGAGTTTCTTTGAACTGGTTCCTTTGCAGAGTACAAAGCAGACTATTGCAGATCAATGTGTGTTCATGCAAGGAGTGGTCTAATCAACATGTGAACGGGACAGAGCATGAAAATTCCTGCATCGTACCTTCTGAAGAGCTGTGTGGATCCCAAGCAAGTGAAACCTAAGTGGTCTTGCCATCTGGGATATCACTTAGAGTAGAATTGTCCTGTTTATTGCGTCGGTCTTCATGGAAATCCAAGTTAACACACGACGGGTCAGACCGAAGTCGACGCACCTTTCTCCGCCGAGGACGGCGGAACCCTGACC